AAAGCTATTCAATTCAAGGTGGAAAACTGTATAATAAACCATCATATTAGACGTTTAAAAAATTATGCATGAAAGATAGGCAATTGAAGATTTGTGTAAATATAAATTCGGTACATAGTAATATTCAACATGACAATATGTCAGGCAGTTAAGGTTATATAAATATACATATTTATATTTTAAATAAAAAGGTTTTGAATGGTAGACATATTTTTACGAGGCAGAATTCTTTGACACTAGTGTCAAATTTCATCTGAGAGCTGTTAGATTAAAAAAAATCAATGGCTCTGATTTGTGAGCATGTGACACCATTGAATTTTTTTTTTATCTAACGGCTCTCAGATGAGGTGTCAAATTTGAAATTTGACTCTGGTGTCAAAAGATCCTACTTCTATTTTTACATATATCCCGAACCTGATTTTATATTTACATAACTCTATTGAAAGTGCATATAGGTTTACGTAGTTATGCAGATGTAGCCACTCATCGAGAATATCATAAACTTGTAAGGAAATTACAGGTGTCTTCGTAATAGTTAATTTAATGTCTCTAATTATATTTCCTTTTTTTCTTCTCCTTATCATAAGCAGCAATTATAAAAATTCCAAAGATTATGAGAAAAATCCTCCAGTGTTGTCAAAAACTATTTACCATTTGATATCTGATAAAAAAATTCCTTGAATTTTTTTTATTTCCTTCACACTGCCCAGCATCTTTCCGTAAGAGACATCCAAAATTTTAAATGTTTTTTTTCAATTTTTTTTAATAAAAAACTTGGTGGGCTCCATGCATTCCTCTGTTTGCAGAAAATGAGATCATTATACTATGAGAGGAGAATTCATTACCCCTATTGTCAATTGTTACATTTTGTTTTCCACTTTTTAACGATTTTAATATTTTTTTTCCTTTTTTCAATAGAACGTCACAAAACCTAGTGGCAAACTCTTCGTCCATCCCAATTGTTTAAGGACGAGAAAATGCTTTAACAAATCATTATTCGACCTTAAGTATCATGAGTTTCTTTGCTAAATAACTAGTGTATTACCCGTGCCGATGCACGAGGAAAAAATCAAAATTTTTGTCGACCTTGGTCGGTTAATCTCTAAAAAAAATCACGAACTTCATCTTGCTATGAAGCCTTGAAAGGTACAATAGTGGAGGTATACATATGAAGGAACAAAATAAAAAATGTAAACCTTTTACTTGAGAAATATATGAAATAAAAAAGAACTGCATTGTTATTTTGTGCTATTTTGGAGAGGTGGGCTGTTAACATTTTATATCAGCATGTAATAGGTTTCTATATTTATCTTCACAAAAATATATCGCTATACTTTAGCTTGTTCTGTGGTCATTCCAAAATATATTTCTATATTTTCGCTTGTCTTGTGGTTATTCAAGAATTACAAAGTTTGACTCGGCTTCTTTCAGTATTTCTCAGAGATGAACTTTCATTTATTACACTCGAATTTACAAAATAATTATTTATAATTATTTTTTGCAAGTATTTGTGTCGTTAGTATTTGAAATTTTACAAATTGTATTTACAAAAATTAAAAACAGATTTAGGAATTTAATTAAAAAAGAAGAAGGGTGGAATTTAAATTTAATTATAAAAATATGTTGGTAGGCTGCGGGCAGGCCCTCCGGGATAAGCCCAGTTTGTCACTTTTAACTATCAGCATTTTATGTAAATAATTATATTTTTGCAAGGATTTGCGTCCTTAGTATTTTGAACTTTAGAAATTTGTATTTACAAAAATTGAAATCAGATTTAGGAATTTAATTATAAAGTAAGAAGTATGAAATTTTAATTTAATTATAAAAATAAGTTGGTGAGGGACTGAGGGCCGAGCCAAGTTTGCCACCTCTAACAATCAGCATGTAACAAGTTTTTATATTTATCCACAAAAAAGGTTCTTATAGTTGAAGTTTTTATATTTTATCTTTGATATGGACTTTCATTTATTACAATCAGATTTAAAATATAAAATAAAAATATTTTTTGCAAGGATTTGAACCGTTAGTATTTGATATTTTACAAATTTGTATCTAAAAAAATTAAAATCAGATTTAGGAATTTAATTGTAAAAGAAGAAGGATGAAATTTTAATTTAACCCAATGGGTGCAGCTCAGTTGGTAATTTGGCGCTGAGTTAGTGGGGTTGGACATGTGTTCGATTCCTGCTGAATGCATTCTTGGGGAGGGGGCTGAACCTTTAGCCATCACTGCTCCCCCGCACTCCGGATTAGTCCCATAGCCGGCTCAAAGAGTCGAAGCTCGTGGGGATACCGGAGGGAGCCAACTCGCTTCAAAGAGGTAATTAGGGTTGGGTAACTCCAAAAAATGAAATTTTAATTTAATTATAAAAATGTGTTAGTGGGCTGGCCCTCCGGCCCGAGCCCAGTTTGCCACCTACAACTGTCAGCATGTAATAGGTTTTTATATTTATCCACACAAAAAGGCTCTTATAGTTGTGTATAAGTTTTTATATTTTATCTCAGAGATGATTTTTCATTTATTACAATCAGATTTACAAAATAATAATAAATAATTAGTTTTTTGCAAGGATTTGTGTTGTTAGTATTTGAAATTTTATAAATTTGAATTTACAAAAATTGAAATCAGATTTAGGATTTTAATTATAAAAGAAGAATAGTGAAATTTTAATTTAATTATAAAAATGTGTTAGTGTGCCGGCCCTCCGGGCCGAGCCCAGTTTACCACTTATAACTGTCAGCATGTAATATGTTTTTTATATTTATCCACACAAAAAGGCTCCTATAGTTGCGTCAATGTTTTTATATTTTATCTTAGAGATGAATTTTCATTTAGGGTTCGCTTTTTCTGAAATTACTGCAGAAAAGTTATCTGCAGTAAGCCCAATACAACGCTATTTTGGGGCGAAAATCACTATATTTTATTAATTTTAATTTATTTCAGGGTTTTTATAGTCTTTATAATTATAATTTTTTAATATTTCAATCCTAAAACGATGTCGTTTTGAAAGTAAACGCAGATAACTTATCTGTAGTAACTGCAGAAATGTTTTTCTTGTTTCATTTATTACAATTAGATTTATAAAATAATTTTAAATAATTATTTTTTTCAAGGATTTGTGTCGTTAGTATTTAAAATTTAACAAATTTGTATTTACAAAAATAAAAATCAGATTTAGGAATATATATATATATATATATATATATATATATATATATATATATATATATATATATATATAAAGAGAGTTCAATGTTGGAAACTTCGCTGATGTGTCACTCCCTGCTTAATTCTGAAAATTGTGTTCACACTACATGGTATATAAAAACTTTCCTTCTTTGGTAAATTGGAAAAAGGATTTCTTTTAAAAATCAAATTTATTTTTTAAATCGAAAAATAAATGACCATTTGTGGTGGCAGACAAGGCATTGAATGTCCCACTGCTCATCACATTGGAATTGGTCAGCTGATTTAATTGTTTTTTACATTAGAATTTTGAGATTTGAATTTTGATTGCTCATTTAATTGGAATGAGTCATCTGATCTAAAATTCGAATTTTGAAATGGAATGACTCAGCTGTTTTAATTGCTCATCTAATCTAAAAATTTCAAATTTTGAAATGGAATGACTCAGCTGTTTTAATTGCTTTTTACATTGAAATTGCTCATATGACCTAAAATTCGAATTTTGAAATGGTTTCAAATTTTGAATTTAAAATATGGATGGTGGGAAAAGATTTGGAGAGTTTTGGGTGGCATTCATTTTGTATAAATAGAGAAGTTGTGTTTCTTATTTTTTTTAGCTTGCCTACGATTTCTTTCTTCATTTCTGTTTGTAGGGGTTGTTGTGTTGGTATTATTTTTTTGTTTTCTTCGGCTTTCTCCGATTCGTTTCATATTTTAATGGAAAGTCCTTCTTCTGCAAACGTGCCAGGATTGAGGAAAGTGTTTGTTGATCTTTGCAATGCTATCTTCTTATAAACAAGACGTAAATAATCTTTACGATTCGTTTTCTTAACAAATTTATGTTTGTGGTGGATATTTGCAAAGCTCTGTGTCAATCCTGTAATTTTTTTCACCTGAAATATAGAACAAAATAACAACACAGTTTTTTGTAAAATATAAGATTTGCAGTGCGATTAACCAACCATGGCGGACGACAAAAATTTTGATCTTTTTTCCCGTGCATCGCACGATTAATATACTAGTTTAATTATAAAAGAAGAAGGATGAAATTTTAATTTAATTATAAAATTGTGTTGTTGGGCCGACCCTCTGGGCCAAGCCCAGTTTGCCACCTATAACTGTCAGCATGTAATAGGGTTTTATATTTATCCACACAAAAGGCTCTTATAGTTGCGTCTAGGTTTTTATATTTTATCTTAGAGATGAATTTTGATTTATTACAAACAAATTTAAAAAATAATATTAATTAATTAATTTTTTGCAAGGATTTGTGCCGTTAGTATTTGAAATTTTACAAATTTGTATTTACAAACATAATGGCTTTGATTTTACATTGAGATTCAATGAGGTCACAGGTTTCGCCTTGTGTAAACAGACTCTTCAAATATGCAATGTAAGGCTGCCTACCAAAGACGATTGTTTTGGCACTTGAGGTGCTCCTGACTAAACACAGTAGTATGGGTCCTTGTTCTAAATGGTTTTACTGAAATTTTGATTTTTTTGATTGGACCTAATGGTGTCTATCAATGTTGCTAACCCCATCTACTGGGATAAAATTTGGTTATTATTGTTATATGACACTGCCAATAGGTAATACCAAGATAACTTAATAATGGATATGCATTTAAATTCATAACATCAAAGAGCCCCTTTGCAATGTTAGTTTTGATACTGGTATATTTGTTCTCATTTATATCAATTGGAAGATATATAGAAAAATTTCTAATTCTTTGTTTAGTTTATAATGTCAGAGGCTAATGCTATGAGTTCTGGTTCTTTGACACTATCATTTATTTATATGCTATGGTTGAACTGTTAGAAGTGTGATATTTCCTGAACCTAGTCAGATGCTAGGGAAAAAGTCACCACAAAGTATGAAATATTATCAATGATTTAAACTCACATTTGCTGATGCATATAGGAAAGCTATTGAATTTGAGAAGAAGACACACGCTAGTAACCTTGAGCACAGGCGGGCAATGGATAACAATTTAATCATTATGTCCCGTGAGGTTGAAAAGTTACGTGCTGAGCTGGCTAATGCAGAGAAGAGAGCAAGGGCTGCGGTTGCTGCAGCTGCAAACCCAAGTAATTTGACTTTATTGGTCATTCATCTTGAAGTGCATACTGAATATAAGAGAAGTATACTAGAATTTTTTTGGTTAAATTTTGTAATTAAATCCGTGATGTTTGTTTCTATGCAGGTCCTGGATATCCTGCAAACTATGACAATCCTGAGATGGGATATGCAGGAAAGGCATACCCTCCTGACTCTTATGGCATGCATCAGGTATGTATGGCAATATGTTACTCCGCACTTTGTTTAGTGGTAATCATGTTGTCAAATTACATCAAGAGAACCCTTAAGAGGAGTCTGCATCTGATATATGATCATCCACTGTTTACCTGAATGAGGGAGAAAAGGCAGCAATCCTAATTATGCTTCAATGTAAAGGTTTTTTTTTTTATTATTATTAAAAAAAGAAGAAGAAGGTAATGTTTGTTAACATAATTATTTGAAGTCTTAACTGTTACCTAGTTCTGAGAACAGACAGTAATAGAAGTTTACAAATTGGTATTTGCTGAGTTTTTTTCCCCGTGTTTCTTTTAAGCCGAAAGGTTGATTCAATTCCTTAAGGGCTTCCTCTCTTCTTTCTTCCCTTTTTCTAAGTCATCTTATTTCTTGATAAGAAAAACTTGCTGTCCTATCCTATGAGTAGTCGTTTGCTAAATGTATGCATGAAAGTGGATATCTTGTTTTCATGTTGAATATTCTTCGCATGTATAATAAAACAATGCTTGGAGGATAAATATTTAATCTGCTAAACTTTTCAGATCCAAGCTGGGGTTGATGCTCATCCTCAATATGCATCTGGAGCAACATTACATCATCCTTATGACATGCAACATGCACAAATGCCTAGATAGGCTTCCAGTGATGTCTTATTTTTGAAAGAAGAGGAAGGAAAAGAATGTAATGTTGCAACATATCACCTTTTTTTCTGAAAGAAATTACCCAATTACAGCGCATATAATTTTGTGGATATCTGAAAATGGTTATAAATCATTAAGCTTGGATATATGTATTATTATTGGTGCTTATTTTCAATAATAATGTGTTCCGGTAGTCTCCGTAGTTTCAATTTTTCCGAATCTATCTTTCTCTTCCCTAGTGAGACTTTGCTCATAATCAAAAGGCTAGTTTCCGTAAGTTCTTTTCTTTTTCTTTTTCTTGATCTTGAGGGGGTTTCCTTTTTTCTTTATGAAAAAATACCAGGTCAAAACAGCCTGAACGCACTTAAGTGGGCCGGGTCAAAACTATCTAACAAACCCACGATTTTGGTCTACAGGCAGAATCCATATTGAAACCTCTAGGCTAAATAAGCTACAGTGCAAGTATCCAACTTATTTCACTTTCCAATTCAAGGTGGAAAACTGTATAATAAACCATCATATTAGACGTTTAAAAAATCATGCATGAAAGATAGGCAATTGAAGATTTGTGTAAATATAAATTCGGTACATAGTAATACTCAACATGACAATATGTAAGGCACTTAAGGTTATATAATATACATATTTATAATTTAAATAGAAAGCTTTTGAATGGTAGACATATTTTTACGTATATCGTGAACCTGATTTTATATTTATTTATTATTCGGTAAACCTGATTTTATATTTACATAACTCTATTGAAACTTTGAAAGTGCATATAGGTTTATGTAGTAGTAGTTATGCAGATGTAGTCACTCATCTAGATATCATAAACTTGTAAGGAAATTACATGTGTCTTCGTAATAGTTAATTTAATTCTTTTTTATTAATTTTATGTCTCTAATTATATTTCCTTTTTTTCTTCTTCTTATCTTAAGTGGAACAATGACCAAAGTGTCACTGTTGGCCAAAAAAATTACCAAACTGCCACGCCAACAGTAAATTTTTTCAAAATGTCACGTGGCATATTTCGCTACACTGTGTAGCGAAAATATGTGTGCAAATAATTCGCTACACAGTATAGCAAAATATGCCACGTCAGACTGCTCAGAACCAAAAATGTCATGTGTCAAAATTGAGAAAATTTGCTACACACGGTAGCGAATTTCTACAATTTTGACACGTGGTATTTTTGGTTCTGACGTGGCATATTTCGTTACACTGTGTAGCAAATTATCTGCACACATATTTCGCTACACAGTGTAGCGAAATATGCCATGTGGCATTTTGGCAAAATTTACTGTTGATGTAGCAGTCTGGTAATTTTTTTGGCCCAACAGTCCCATCTTAAGCAGCAATTATAAATTTTTTAAAGATTATGAGAAAAATCCTCCATAGTGTTGTCAAAAACTATTTACCATTTGATATCTGATAAAAAAATTCCCTGAATTTTTTTATTTCCGTCACCCTGCCCAGCCAGCATCTTTCCTTATTATGGTCAATTCTTACATTTTGTTTTTCACTTTTTTTAACGATTTTTCATTTTTTTTTTCATTTTTGAATAGAACGTCACAAAACCTAGTGGCAAACTCTTCGTCCATCCCAATTGTTTAAGGATGTGAAAATGCCTTAAAAATTCATGTAGTTTAAATTTCAACAAGAAAAAAATAATAATTTATAGTAGTTAAAAGACGCATGCGACATTAATTTATTCTTTTAAAGAAAGTGATAAGTTATGATGGACGCTAAAAAGTGTCTCAGTAATGTGACAAATGTTAAGCAAAATGTAATATGCATGGCTTTTCTTTTTTCTTTTTTCTTTTTTTCTTTTTTAATAATCTGGCCATACGCCTTAAAGTTTCATGCCAGATCAATGTTATTAATTAATCCAATTAAATAGGCTGCCAATCCATTATCCTCGGTAGATATAAGTACTACATGTAATATGCATGAGTATAAAACTGCAACATATGTTAGTGTAGAAAAAATAATAAAATCATGCAACATCGTCGTTGTGTATTGATGCTATTATAAGAGGAAAACCATCAAAATGTCACTCTTGATCAATTTTTTTACTTAAATGCCACGCGAACAGTATTATTTCTCAATTTGTCACAGGGGAAAGTTCGCTACCCGGTGTAGCGAACTCGGTTTGCTGACGTGTCACATTTCTAGTGGATAACAAGTACCAAGTTAAAAAAAAAAGTTTGAAGTTCGCTACCCCGGGTAGCGAACTTGGTGTCCACTAGAAACGCGACACGTCAGCAAACTGAGTTCGCTACACCGGGTAGCGAACTTGCTCCCGTGTGGCAGATTGGAAATAACACTGTTCGCGTGACATTTAGGTAAAAAAGTTGGTGAACAATGACATTTTGATCACTGTTCCATTATAAGAATATACAACTCATCCTTTTCATTCAATTGAATGACATATGGTTATGTAACTTGTTGTTTCATTTAAAACTAGTATATTACCCATGTGTTGTACGGAGAAGAAAAAAAAAGAAATCGATTTGTTTGTCTTGTAAAAATTAACGTTAATTGTAAAAGTATATCGTTGCATTTTATTTAAATTTTGATCTTTTGATACAAATGTAGATGCCATTGTATTAACTTTTCCTGTAGTCATTCAAAAATTATGTAATTTAACTCGACTTCTTTTAATATTTTTCAGAGATGAATTTTAATTTATCACAATCTGATTATTCGTTTTGTTTAGATGCTTGTTTTTTAAATATTTACAACAATAAATCTAATGATCTTAACCATTCAAAAATTAGTTTGTTACTTGTTAGCCAAGAAATACAATTAAAAAAAAAAAAAGTATTGGTGGGCTAAGCCGCCTGTGTATTGATGCTATTATAAGAATATACAACTCCTCCTTTTCATTAATTTTAAAGACACATATAGTTATATAACTTGTTGTTTCATTTAAAGGAAAAATATTTATCCTTCTAAATGACACAACTTATATCATTTCACTCTCACAATGAGATGGACTCACATCTTTATTTTTTTGTCAACTCTCTCTCCTCTTGTATCTATCTCTTTCTCTCTCTTAAAAAATAACACAACTTTACATCCTTTAAAATGACACACATTTTTTTCCTTCATTTAAAATAAGTAAATAACACGGTAATTAAACATTTTGCTCAACATCTGCCCTATTGATTGCATTCTTTGTTAATTTGGAATTGTCACGAGCAGTCGAGTAGATAGTGTGGATTGATTCACGTTTGTAAATGTGTTGAAAATACCAATTCATTCTCTTCAATAATAAAAAAAAACTGGAATATCAAATCATGATTCGACCTAAAGTATCATGAGTTTCTTTGTTAGATGAATCAATCCATGTGCCCTGCGCCGATCCGTTTTAACTCATTTAATACATATCGAGTTACAAGTTAATAATTACCACAAATAAACTAAAATTGACTGATTAAAGGGTCGATATGTCAAATTAGACCTATTTTACAAGCTTTAGTCACACTTGTATATTAATGATCATTACACACTATCAAAAATCTGATCCTCAATCAAAATAGTTGTTATCTAAATTTGCGTTGATTATTCCTTTTCCTTCAAGTATCGTGAATCCAAGCCAAATTACGCACAAAAGCATGCACATGTTTTAAGGACGCATTAAAGATACAAATAGTTATGAACTTATGATCCATAAATCTATGGCCTAACCTATTTAAAAAGCAGTGACTTTTACAAAAAAGAAAGAAAGCAGTGACAATACTTATTTAAAAAAAAAAAAAAAAAAAGAGTGCAGTGACAATTTCGAGTAAAGCCCCATTTTTAAAAAAGGAGAATGACTTTGACTTGTTTTTTTTCTCTCTCCCTAATGATAACTTGTATATTTTAGAGAGAGAAAATTCAAAAGAATAAGAAAAATATTGGTTAAACTATAAATTTCATGGCAAAAAAATTAAAATAATGCATTTAAATTAAATAATTACGCATTTCATGGTGTTTTGTAAAAAATTACACATTTGCTGCACAATGTGACGCCACTTTTGGGCGTCACATGTGTGCTCTATATATTCCCCCACCCCCTCAATTCAATTCACACATCTTCTCTCACTCTTCATATCTCTCTTCTCCACCAACATTCTTTTATCTTAAATTTAGTATTTGAATTTTATTTCTTATTCTATTTAAAAATGAGCTCAAATCCTGATTCTGTTCGTGTTGTGTTATATTACAATGGTAGGAAGGTAGAAGGTCGACGAGGTGTCATCTTCGAAGGTGAAAAAAGGCCGACACGTATCCAACGCAACACAACCATTGGCGAACTGCATCAGAGAATTCGGCAGAAGTTAAGTCTTCCAGACAACCAATGTATCACGGAGATTATGACTGTCAATTTATGTTTAATTCGTTCATGTCCAATTTGTGTAGGTTATACTCCAGCCATGGTTGATTTTGAAAGGAATCTTGCGAGTTTCCGTGAAAATAGTCCTCAAATTGCAGAGTGGATTGATGCGATTCCTAAGGAAAAGTGGTTGCGAGCCTACGATATTGAAGGACGGAGGTACGATCATATGACAACAAATTTGGTTGAATCTGTCAATAGGGTTTTGAAGGGGGCCAGAAATATGCCTATAACAGCATTGGTTAAGCATACATATAGCAGATTGGTTGCATATTTTGTTGAGAGAGGAACAAATGTTGTTGCACAACTTCAATCAGCTCATCGTCACTCCAAAAATGTTGTTGAATTGGTCAAGAAGAACCAGGTAGATGCAACAGGCCACCACGTTCGTGCATACAATGTTGAACATACTGTCTTCGAGGTTTACGCAGGTTGGGAGCATTCATATTCTGTCAACCTCCCACAGAGATACTGTCAGTGTGGAAAGTTTAAGGCCTTTAAGTATCCGTGTAGTCACGTCGTTGCTGCTGCGTTAAGTGTTAGGCAGAGTGCGTTCACTTACGTTGACGACGTCTTCTTGATAACTAACTTGGTCGAGGCTTATTCTTTTCCGTGGGAGCCAATCGGAAACGAGGAAGCAATACTTGAAACTAGTGGTCCAAAGATTATTCCTGATTCTACTATGTTGCGTGCAAAAGGTCGTCCAAAGTCAACTCGCATCCGCAACGAGATGGATGAAGTTGAGACAAGCCAGAGCCGTATCAGGTGTGGACTTTGCAAGGAACGCGACCATAATCGTCGGGGATGTCCAAGTCGTGGGAGAAACGACTGAGATACATATTATGTCATTATTTTGCTGTTGGTTATGTTATTGCTTGAATTGTAATGTCCGTTATGTTGGACTTTTTACTTTCCGTTTATATATGTTTTTATTCTTGTATTATTAATTAACTGATGCAATTAGTTACTGTAACATAAATGCGCAAAGGATGACAAACAAAACATAAATAATAAAGCATAGTGAATAGTCCAAATAATATAATAATGTAGCGTCCACAAAATAACAACATGCTACATTCATAACTAATACAAAATAACAAAATAATAACAATATGAAACAGTACACAACATAGTGAATACTCCAAATGGCAATGAAACTACGACCACGGTGGCCATGGCCTATGTCGTGCATCCCTATCTGGCAGTATACGTCTGTCCCAGACTGGGTCTCCCTGATGCACATGTGCATGTGCCTGTGGTGGTGGAGTGTGGAAGTCATCCATCGCCACACGAATGAAATCATCTGATGGTCCTGCACTACTGCCTGACACCTCAAAAGGGGTGTGTCCTTGACTGTGAGAATCCGTGGCTAGAGTCTCCCCACTGTCATGGCTCTCTATAACAAGGCCTACAGAGCGATACAACTCAATCGTATCCTCTGCAGCCTTGTCCGCCAGCAATCAGGTCCCCAACATCCGGGCAATGTGGGCTTTTGTGAAGTAGATCTCGGCATCGTGATTCCCCTCATGATCAGTCCACCGGGTATAATGCCGATCCAAGAATGAGATGCGGAGGTCGCCAGAATGATGGAACTCACCGGCCTCTGGAACATGTCCAAAAACAGCAGCACAAGCAGCGTGCCAATCCTCGGAGGTCGATCCGGTGACGACAGTGCCGTCAATTGGTAAGCCCAATATGCCTGCCACATCTTGTAAGGTGATCGTCATCTCACATTGGGTCATGTGAAAGGTATGTGTCTCTGGTTTCCACCTCTCGACCAGAGCACTAATTAAAAATGTATCGATCTGTGATAAATTACGCAGTTATCACGTGTTAACGAATTTTATTGAATAATTACATAAATACAAAACGACGTAAATAACATACCTGAATATGTTGCATCCTGGCAACATGTATGAATCCCGCCTGTCTGAGGTACTCTTCGACAACCTGTGGAATAGCACCGGTAGGTGGCCCCCCTTGTGGCTTCCCACGCCTGGTCTTAATTTTCCTTACATGCTCTGTATTCCACACTCGCTGTGAAATATGAGCTTTCTGCGTCCTCTTACGAAGGACCTCCCATCTGTACGACCCAAGTATGATCCACATGCTGGGATCGGTGGGCTCTACATCCGATGCAGATCCCGATGAAGATGATGACTCAGCCATTATCCTCAACTATATAATATAAAACAACATTTAAATTAATCAAATGTAATGCCCCATTTTATTTACAATTTAATTAAGCAGTGACATAATTGATTATCACAAAAATTAAGCATATGCGTCATTTATTTAACTAGAATCGAAATTTATGAAGTCCCGCCAAAACGTAGAACAGTTATTTATTTGCAATTAAATAATAATAATACATCGGACAAAAATAATATAATACTAACTGAATACTTAACCCTAGGTCACTACCAACTTGTCCAATACGTACTAATCATCACACCTAACTAACTACAAAGTTTTGCACTCCCGCATTAAAAACATCATACATACGAAATTTACAAAGTCCCTAACACTATTTATAAATCACTAATTAATATGCTAAACCTAATGCATAATTAAAAATTAATAATAATAACTACATAATAATAAAATTACTATATCATTACAACATTCATAGCATGCCACAAAATTTCTAAGTGACTATCTTAATGTTCCAAGTCTCTAATATACAATCAATCCTAACATCTATTACTAACTAGCACTGTAATTTAAATGTATACATATGAGGTATTATGACCTTACCTACGTTGGTAGAGCTTCGCTACGAACCGCGGTTATAAAGAGGTTAGAGAGATGAATGAGTAAGGAGTGAAAAAAAGAAAGTGGGGTATATATAGCTTGCACATGAGACGTCCCCTTTGGGCGTCACATGTGACGCCCCAATCGGGCGTCTTCCCCAAGGGAGAGACGCCTCACTGGGGCATCACATGTGACGCCCAAAAGGGGCGTCTCATTGTGCAATAGATGTGTAATTTTTTACAAAATAGTATTAAATGCGTAATTATTTAATTTAAATGCAATTTTTTAACTTTTTTTGCCTAAATTTCATCTCTATTTAGTTCAAGTTAATAACTTACCATGGTCTAAAATTCAATATGAATCGGGGATTCTCTATGATATTTATTAATTAATATGACAATGTCATCTTATAAGAGATAAAAAAACAAAATTAATAAATCATACAAATGTGATGGCCAATACAACTGTAATTATTTTATATCCTTTTCTCAAGTAATATGACATTATCATGTTAATAAACAATTAATATTAGAAGATTCAAATATATTGATATATAGTTTCGATCATAACTACCATAATTTGAGGATCAATGTGATAAACGGATACTTCAGTGACATTGTTTTATCCATGTCAAGAGAAAATTATGGAAGTTATATCAAAAATGCAAAAGCTACTAAATTAAAAAAGAAAAAAAAGAAAAAAGAAAAGAAGAGAAGAGATTAAGTATACAATATGTGTTTATTGTTTACACAAAAAGCAGGTTTGAATTATCATGTCTTGAAGTGTGATCAAGTTTATTGTAAAATTTTGAAGGACCATGAAACTGAATAAGTGACAAGAGAAAAAATAATTGACGTGGCTTTGTAGGTATAAATTAAGGGTTTTATAAAAGTTATGTTGTAGGAAAAGTGATTGTGTAATGGGATAGATTCGTTTTGCGTGCCGTAATTTTCTTTTTTCTTCAAAAAATGTGGGTCCCACAAAATGTTGTGTGTATAGAAAAGTCTGTTGTGTCATGTTAAATGACAAATGCAAACCCCATAAATTAAAGGTCTCTCTCTTAATTAAAATTAATAACAAAAATAATTAAAATTTTATTCTTCACGTTTTATGAGATATAAAATTCATAATTAAGTTATTTTAACATTTTTTAGATACAGCTAATCTATTAATTAATTTTACTTGAGACTTTTTTATCTAAAAAATATCTTATCAATTCTTTTTAAAAAATTTCTTATCGATCGTTGAAGTAACACGTATTATTAAGTCATTTCTTGTTATCGTTATCATTATTATTTAATGCAATTATAACATTAAGGTTTAAATTTATGAACCTACACATTAGTCTAGTCACCCATTATTAATCTACTCTTAACGACTGGTTATTATTCTTATACATTAATTTTATAAATGGTAATAATTTTTTTATGTACATAAAAAAAATATTATGTCCTACCCAAATAATAAATAAAAGATAAAAAAAAGTTGAAGGTAAGATGAAATCAAAATTGTGAAACCCATTTAAAAATATGAATATAGAAGATAATAATTTTTTTAATTTTTTTATATAACATAAGAAAAATATTATTCTTTTATAAATTATTCCTTATTATTTATTAACTTACATATAGCATCCCTATTTCTTCGTGAGATAGTTGTATAATGTATTACATGCATTATTATGCAAATACAGAGTCCAGTGGTGAGAGAAAGACAGAGATAGAGAGAGAAATAGCTTTGGAGGAGATAAGATGAGATACACTTCATTGCCTAGAAGCCCAAAGGCAGAAGAACAGGAAGTGCCAAATTCTATCACCTCCGTATTACCCAATTCTAAAGAAGCTTATGCTGATGAATATTTCAGTATGTTGGGGGAACTCGAAGGGGTCTTGGGCATTGAAGAAGAACAAAAATTACCACCATCACAGGAAACTTGTAGTGTTCAGCTTCATTGGGATTTCATGGAAAGGGAGGAATTTCGTTCCATTGAAGAGGAACCAGAAGATGATGAAGGGAAAGTGCAGGTAACTGAGAACAAAAGCAAGTACCTTTTCAGAGAGCAGCAGATAAAGAGAGAAAATATTTTTGGGTTTTGGGAAGTGGATGAAGAAAAGATGATGGCTTTGAATTTGAACTTGAACTATCAAGAGGTTCTGGATGCATGGTCTGACCGTGGTTCTCTATGGGCTGAAGATTGTTCTCTTTCATTGGCCAACAATAATGGCTACTATGTCAGTACTTATCATCCAATCTTCACAGTCATAAGCTTCTCCCTCTGTAATATTTTTTTACTTTCCAATGTTGTATTTCAATGCATGTTTTCAATTGTAAGTAGCAGTTCTTCAATTTGTTTAAGACGAGAGATATTTTTACTATCAACTCATTACTTATTTAATCATCATTGGATCAATATTTTTTCTTTTTTTTTTAAATTTTTTTTAACATTTTTTTTCTTTGATTCAATGGTGATTAAATAAGTAATAAATTAGTACTAAAAAATTTTGACAGTAAAAACGCTCCTATGACTATTAGTCTTGCTTTTACTTGAGGTTATTTTTGGTACAATCTTTGATATTGTTTGGATTTTTTTTGGACAGGGAGTAGAGTGATATATTTATTTTGGATGACTCCACTGTTATATTTTTATTTAAATTCTCATTTGAAATTGAATTAATTTGCTAGAATAGATTTTATTTTTTGCTATCTCATTGCTACTAAAGGGTAGACATGAAGAATATAAGGCTTTATGATGACTGTGTTTAGATGGGAGAAGTGCCAATATTGGAAGAAGAGAGAACAAGAAGGGAAGCAAGTGTTCTTAGGTACAAAGAGAAGCGCCAGAACAGATTGTTCTCCAAGAAGATAAGATACCAAGTTCGGAAACTAAACGCTGATAAAAGACCCAGAATCAAGGTCACTTTTTATATTTCCTGTTACTTTTCTTTCTTACTTGTTGGAGATATTCCTGTTACTTTTCAGCCATTCGGGTCACTTTGTTTTGTAATGAAATCAGCTTTTCTGATATTTTGGTTGTAGGGTCGCTTTGTGAAGAGACATTGAGGTTACTCGACAGAATTGAAAGATCCCAAACCCAAAATATCTCCCAAAATATCTAAGTCCACTTCTGTACATTTATTTTTAATTAATTTCAATTCCAATATTCTTGCATTTATCCATTCAAATTATCTTTCACTATTTATTGAATTTGAAAAAAAAAATTCATTATGTATAAATAATAAATAATTGGTTTAATATTTATGATGTTGTAGGAGATAATTTTTTCTCTTATACATATATAAAATGTTTGAAGCTCATATTTTATTTTTTTTATCTCTTTTCTTTACTCAGAGTCTTACATATTTTTATGTGTGTGTAGGGGATAAAATTATCTCATATAATATAAAAAACATTAATTTCATAAATAAAACAAGACGTTTGTTTCTAATTTTTGGATCAAATTTATTTTTTTAATTTAAAAAATTAATTTTGGAATTTTATTTATCGTGGACTTTCTGAGGTCCATTCTTTTGTTATTATAACTTTTCTGGTTCATTTTATGGTACTAAGTATGGTCTATGACATGAAATAAAAAAAATAAATAAATTATGGTCTATGATTGTCGCCTATAGTGATGGACTTAATCACAAGGTTCACTGGGTGGATGTACCCTATGCTTTTCTTTTTCTTTTTTCTTTCTTTTGATACAAAAGTGATTTATGATTTCGTATGAAGATGGAGAGAGGAATCTACGCAAACAAATCGGCCAGGCTGAGGTTAATTCGATTGTAAAATCAAATAGTCTAAGAGAACTTCATACTTCTCTAGTTAATTTTTGGGATACGATATTCTAACAATCAAATATTATTACTAATGTTATTATCAATTAATTTTATAGTTAAATCGATTATGTTCATCCAATGATTATATTTATTTTCATTTTTGTATGGTTATGATTTCTCATATTTAATACTTTATATTTATTTTCGCCTTTGTATGGTTACGATTTTTTATATTTAATGCTTTCACTTTAAATATGGGGAATCATAATCATACAAAGATAAAAATAAATATAACCGTTGGACAACATAATCGATCTGACGGTGAAATTGATTGGTAGTAACATTAATAGTAACACTACTTGATTATTACAATATCATTTCCCTTGTTTTTAATTTATTTATTTTAACATATTTATTTCAGCTTGCAGCAACTATCTCAACCCTCTCAGGTATACTTTGAGGCTATGTTGCACCACCGATACTGACACGAAACACGAGATACGACACAATATGATACTCCGACACGTTAATTCTAAAAAATGTTAAATTTTGACACGTTAAGACATATTTTGATATCATATAATATTTTTAATTTATGTAGTGTATATTATATTTAGTATTCAATAATTTAACAAAAAATAAAGTTAAACTTATAATACCCATCAATTTTGCAAAGAAACATAATATATCTCAAATGTTTATATTAAACTCAATAAAATTGTAATCGAAATCTAACGAATCTAATAGTTGGAACTCAAAATACAACTCAACGTAACCTTTGAACATTTTGTGAGTCTTTGCAACGAGTATTGGAGTGTCGGTCGGAGTGTCAGTGAGTGTCGAGAAGTGTCGGATACGGCACATCAGAATTTTTGAAGTGTCGATGCTTTATAGCTTTGAGGAGTAAACTTTAATATTAATTTAATTTTGGCAGTTCAGTCTCACAATCTTTCTCGCAATCCCGCCATGCGTAAGCAAAACAGATCTTGCATGTGAACCAAACAATTTTATTTTTGTGTAATTCTAGTTAAGGATAGTTTAATGGAGGTATTACCATGTTGATTAGGGTTTACAAAAACTGAACGGAACTGTATTAAAAACAACTATTTTTAAAGAATTAGTTTATGAACCGAATTAATTTTTAAGAACTAATTTATAAATTAAACTAGTATTTAAGAATTAGTTTAAGAACCATTTTTTTTCCTTTTTCTCTTTTTTTTTATAATTTTTTTCTCTTTATTTATTTAGTGGCTTCTTTTATTTTTATCTTTATTTTTATTATTTTATTACTTTATTTTTTATTTTATTTTTATTTTGGAATAGGTTTGACCTAAACTAATTTCGAATCTAATCAAATCATTTTTTACCAACCTGAACCATTTCAAAGAGAACCGAACTACCGAACTGGTTTGGGATAAAAAGACAAGTTTGGTTCTTTGAACTAAATTAGTTGTTCTTCAAAAAATTCAGTTCAATTTCTATGCGTTAATTTCTAAAATTGAACTTGTTCAAAGTACAATTGCACCATTATTTGTCTCGATTCGATACACTTAAGTTTTTTTTGGTTGAGATACACTTAAGTTTTAGATATTCTTTGAGATATGTTATGGAAATTGTAAGTTAATTAATAAAATGTTCAACCTAACCCACTTATTAGACATTACTTGGTTAGTTGATTATGAATTATTATTATTTTTTTCATTCGAACAATGCCTAAACCAAGCTCGTGTATGGTAGAAGATGAATGCATGATTCAAAAATATATATACCTAATTATATACATATGGGTAGGATAACTTATACTGATATAAAAATAAGAAACGGTAACTACCAAAAAAAAAAAAGAAACGTTATATAATCTTTTATTAGCTTTTTATATTTTTAGTTTTTATTATTTCTTTTCTGTTGTAATTGTTTCTAGAAGCTGAGCTGTCATTTTTGTTCTTCTGATATTATTAGGCCATTCTGTTAGGCCATTTGGTTAGGCATTCTGTTAGTCATTTTAGTGAGGCCATTTTCTCACTCTTCACATATTTTCTATATATTACCTTTGTATTCTCTACTTTCAAGTAAGTAAATAAAATGCAGTTTTTCTTCTCTGAGTTATCTTCCTAATATGGTACCAGTAGATTTTTTTTCCTGAACCCGAGCCTCCTTCCATGGCTCGTGGTAGCACTAACAATCGCCCACCACCAGTGGATACTTCCTCTGGTTCATCTTCCTTCATGGAGGATTCTTCCAGTCCTTATTTCTTACAAAATGGAGATGATCCTGGCCTGGTTTTGGTCTCACACACTCTCACTGGTTCCAATTTCAGTTCCTGGAAGCGTGCTATGATTCTTGCCTTCACCGCGAAGAACAAACTTGTGTTTGTTGATGGTTCTATCCCTCGTCCTTCTCCCAATGATCTGTTGATTTTTTCTTGGACTCGTTGCAATTCCATGGTCATATCCTGGATTTTGAACTCCGTCACTAAGGAGATTGCCGATAGCCTCCTTTATTTTTCTACTGGTTATGAGGTTTGGACTGATCTGCAGACACGTTTTTCTCAGGCGAATGGTCCACGTATTTTTCAACTCAAACAACGAATTTCCTATTTATCTCAAGGCGCCCTTGATGTTAATGCCTATTATACGAAGTTGAAATCTCTGTGGGATGAGTTACAGGATCACCTACCTCTTCCTTCTTGCATTTGTGGTGCTCTTCATGAGATTCGCACCGGCAGGGAGCAGGACCATATTTTACAATTTCTTATTGGCCTCAATGACTCATATTCCTCTGTCCGGGCACAGATCCTTCTCCTTGAACCACTGCCACCACTCGCGAAGGTCTTCTCCATGATCCTGCAGGAAGAACGCCAACGTCAACTTTCAGTATCCTTGCCTCATCCGGTTGCTCCAGATTCCCCGCTTATTAACTCGGCTGCACCTCCTCCTCACTCCCTACCCACGACGGCTGCTGCTTTTCAACGCCGTCCCAGATCCATCTGCACGTTTTGCAATCTTTCTAGTCACACACGTGACAAGTGCTTTAAATTACACGGATACCCTCCTGGGTATAAACCCAGAATTCCTAAGCCCAACCCCACTACCAATCAGGCCCAAGCCCACTTTGCACACTCTCAGCCTTCCCATCCTCTTCCCAAATTCCCACCGACAACATTCTCACCTAACCCTCCTCCCCAAGCCACTTGCATTTACCCCAACCCAGTATAATCAGCTGCTTGCGTTGCTACATCAGAATTCTGCATCATCCTCATCGTTTTCCACTTCTTCCGTCGCTGACTCCTCTCCCTCGGTAGCAAGTTTCAGTGGTAAGCCACCTCTTGCTCTCCCTCCGTCTTGTTGGATTTTGGACACGGGTGCTACGCATCATGTTTGTCTTTCGATTAATCTTTTTTCCTCATCTTCCTCTTCTGATTCTTTAGTTTCTTTTCCGAATGGGTCTTCTGCAGTGGTCACTGATGTTGGTTAAGTGTCCATTTGTGGTCTTTTTACCCTACAAAGTGTCCTTTGTGTTCCGTCGTTCTTCTTCAACCTTTTATCAATCAGTGCTTTAACGCGTGATTCCCCTATTCTTGCTCATTTCTCTGACTCTCATTGTTCTCTTCAGGACCGTGCTTCGGCAAAGACGATTGGGATTGCTAGAAGACACGGAGACCTCTACATACTTGACACCACAAATCTTTTCCCGGCAGATAATGTCCCCCATCCCCTTTGTTTTTCATTTACTGTAAAAGACCCTTCCCTCTGGCATTCCAGATTAGGGCATCTTTCTGTTTCATTTTTAAATTCAATGAAATCTTTGCTGGGTTTTTCTGATGATTTGCATACTGCCCATCATTGTGCTGTGTGTCCTCTTGCCAAACAAAAACGCCTCCCCTTTATTTTAAACCCCAAATTATATGCATCCCCTTTCGATTTGGTTCACTGTGATATATGGGGTCCCTTTCATACAATTTCTGTAGAGGGATCTCGCTATTTTTTGACAATTGTAGATGATGCTACACGTTTCACATGGACTTATTTTTTAAACAAAAAATCTGATTTCTCTTCTGTTTTTACTTCATTTTATAATCTTGTTCACACACAATATTCTTTGCCTATTAAGTCTATCCGCTGTGATAATGCACCTGAGTTTCACTTACCATCTTTTTTCTCCTCTAAAGGTATTCAACTTTACCATTCTTGTGTTGATCGTCCTCAACAGAATTCGGTTGTAGAACGCAAGCACCAACATATCCTTAATGTGGCACGCTCCCTTCAATTTCAATCCCATGTACCACTGCCATATTGGCAAGATTGCATCCTTACTGCTGTATATCTCATTAACCGAAC